TGCTGAATCTTTATTACTTTATCTCAGCACCATGGTGACAAACCTTTTAAAGAGACATGAATATGAGCACTTAGGTTAAAAGAAAAGCTTTCCAGTATTATTCTGCCTTTTTTTTGTTTTTTTTTTTTGAGAGGTTTTTGCTATAGGGCATGTGCACTCACCAGAGAGACAGAGAGATAGAAAGCGAGAAATCACTCCCCAAGGAGGTTGGCCAGGCCGCAATCCCTTCTTCTCTAGGGATCTTGGGCACACATGCACACACGCCCAGCGTGAGTTTAAGTCACTGGACCTGGAACTTGAACCGTGGTTGGCTACAGGGGAGTTCAGTGACCTGGAACTTAAACCGCGGTTGGCTACAGGGGAGTTCAGTGACATAGCCATTACGCTAACTGCTGGTCCCTATTTTGCCTCTTTTAATATTCCTTCATTGTATTTAAACTGAAATGGGAAAAATAACATTGTCTAAATATATCTTAAACTGGGAGCCAGTAGGTGGCATGGTGGTTAAGGGCGCTGGACTCCCATATGGCAAACTGCGATTCAAGCCCTGAACCTGGCAGTTTGCTTTCTCTCTCTCTCTCTCTGTCCTTCTCTGGTCAAAGTTAAATAAATAAATAAATAAAGTTAAATAAAATAATTCCTTTAAATAAAGAAGAAGAGGGGTCAAAAAAAAAGATATCTTAAACTGTATTCATTCAAATAAATTCTCAGACTTCATTTTTAAACCTTTTTAATTATGAAATAACATGCATGGAACAAAGTACATAAAGCCTAAGTGTAGATTTTTTAAAATTATTACAGAGTGAACTCTAGTTCAAAATTCGAACCAAGACAGAAACGGGGCCAGCTCACAGGGGCACAGTGTTAATGAAACACTATGTGATGATGAACTTATAAAGGAAGGTCCTCAGGTGGTGTCCTGGGGTCTGCCTCCCTATGTACTCTGGGACCAGACACCATAATCAAGGATTATTCAACAGGTATTGTGTTGTCTTTAAAGTCATGGTGCATTTTTGTATAGAAAATACATCATGACTTTTCCGAACACTGAATACCAATCGATAAATGTGATATACCACATTAACAGAATGAAGAGCAAGAAGCACATGATCGTCCTGAAACAGAAATAATAATTCACAAAATTCATAGTTCTATGATAAAAACTCAACAAATCAGGCATAAGAAAAGCACTTCAATATAGTAAAGTGCACATACGGTAAGCTCATAGTTAACCGTACTCAATAGTAAAAAGCTGAAAGCATTTCCTCTAAGATCAGGAACAAGAGAGGGATGCCTATCTTCACCAGATGTGTTCAACATATTACTAGAAATCCAAGCTAAATTAATTATGAAAAAAAAAAAGAAATAAAAGGCATCCAAATTAGAAAGTAAAACTGTTTGCAAATGACACGATCTTATATATATAGAAAATCCAAAGACTGCATCAAAAAAACACTAGAACTAATGAATTCAGTGAAGTTGCAAGACATTAAAAACAACTAGCTGTAAAAGGAATTAAGAAAAGATTTCCAATTACGATAGCATCGAAAGGAATATAATACTTAGGAATAAATATTGTGAAGTTTATTTCTTCCATGAGCAAGAATGAGAGTGAGAACAAGTGTAAAACCAAGAGATAGCTTCTCTAATGGAGTCTTTTTTTTTTTTTAAGATTTTTTTAAAAAGTGTATTTATTTAATTTTTTTTATCCATTCAATCATTTTCATTTGACAAGAGAAAGACAGACACACAGACAGAAGGAAAGTGAGAAAGCAAGCCAGGTCCAGGACTCAAACCGTGGTCGGCCATGTAGGAGTGGTCCAGCGCCTTAACCACCACCGACGAGTTAGAGTGGTCCCAGCACATTACCCACAAGGCTACCCACTGCCCCCCCCCCTTTTTAAAGAGATTTCTGCTATAGTGTGCATGTGCTCACCGAAGAAACAGAAAAAGACAGAAACAGAAAGCAAGAAATCACTCCCTCGGGGGATGGCCACATTGCAATGGCCACATCGCTATCCCTTCTCCTCCATTTTCCTTACAGGATTTTGGGCACGCACACACTTGCATGTGCCCAGCTTAAGTTTCAAGCCACTGAGTCCAGGACTCGAATCATGGTTAACTACACGGGAGTCCAGAACATAACTAATATGCCACCTGCTGGACCCTTCTAATGGAGTCTTGATGCCACGATTCAGTCCCTGCCTTCAACCAGCCCAATCATAGGCAAGCGCATGCCTGTTGTACTCAGGGAGGTCTCTGGACTTGAATCAGCAACATCCCTATGTGGGATTACCTTGGAGTGTTGCATTTTACTGCTGTGCCACACCTGGCCCCATTAGAAAAAAATTTAACTAGGGGATAGAAGATCTGTACATTGAAAACTATAAAATATAGATGAAAGAAATTGAAGAAGACAGAAATAAGGAGAAGATAACCTTTTTTCATGTGTGGAAAGAATTAAAATTGTTAAAATGTCCATACTACTCAAAGCAATTTACAGATTTGATGCAATCCCTATTGAAATTCCAATGACATTTTTCATTCAAGCATTGGGTTTAGATGGTTTCACTGCTGAGTTTACCAAAACCAAGGTACCGGCCACTGCGATGTTATTTTTTATTTATTTATATTTTTAGAGAGGCTTTTGCTATAGGGTGGTGCACTCGCCAGAAAGACAGAGACAGAGAGACAGAAAAGAAGAAATCACCCCCCAGGGGGATGGCCATGCTGCAATCCCTTCTCCTCCATTTTCCTCTTGGAATTTTGAGCATGCACATACATGCACCCGGTGAGAGTTTAAGCCACCAGGTCTGGGACTCAAACCACTGTCGGCTACACAGGAGTCCAGTGACATAGCCATTATGCTAACTGCTGGTCCCGCGATGTTATTTTAAACAACCCAGAATACATAAAAAAGGAAAGGTCCCTAATTAGTTTTATAAAATGTGCAAGATTTCATGCATAAAACTGAGAAAGAAAAAAACCTAAAAAACCTACAGATCACTCTCACTTCCAAATGCAGAAATCCTAAAATATCAGCAATAAAATTTAGCAGTACATTTAAAGACAAACATCTACGAAGTGGGGTTTATTCTGGAAATGTGGGGAGGATTAGGAATTATGAAATATCAAAATGCTTTATTCGTAACTGTAAGGAGAAAATATAATTATTTTCATAGAAACTAAAAAGGCATTTAGTAAAATTCAGTATGTATCTGTAGGAATATGGATACTTCCTTAGGCTATAATTTCATAGAATACTGAAAAATTCTGCGTTAAAGGTAAGAATGAGATACATATGTTCACTATGACCACTATCATTTAACACTTAGAGAAATCTCAATCTTGGGGGACCAGCAGGTGGCGTGGTGGTTAAGGCGCTGGACAGTCCCACATGGCCAACCAGGGTTCAAGTCCTGAATCTGGTGGCTTGCTTTCTCACTTCCTCTCTCTCATTCTCACCCTCTGTCTCTCTCTGCTCAAACTACAAAATAAATGAATGAATAAAATAAATAATTATTTGAAAAAAATTTAAAAAAATAAAGAAATCTCAATATTGGCACTATTGACTTTTGGGCTAGATAGTTCTTTACTGTGGAGGGCTGTTCTGTGCAATAGAGGATGTTTACAGTACCCTCCCCGGTCTCTACCACTATATGTCAATCCCTAATTTCCCCCTTTCCAACACACACACACATACACATACAAGGTGTGACAACTAAATGTCTTCAGGCATTGTCTGCTGAGAACTAAACCATCCTTAGTCACGAATTACTGTTCTAGAGGTACTAACAAACACATCTAAGAAAGAAAAACAATTAGAGATGTAAAAGTTGAAAAGGAAGAGGTAAAATTAATATTATTTGAAAATGTAACTTTTTCCTCAGAAAACTCAAGAAAATTGATCAAAAAACTTAAAAATAAGAGGAAAACTTAATATATAGATCTGGGCACAATAGCAATATAAGTAAATCAATAATATTCATATATGTATA